TATATATATATATATAATAAATTCAAACCCATTTTATGATTCTAAATAAACTATTTTTGATAATTATAGAACTGAATTAATTAGCCTAAGATAAGCCTATACAGTATTATATTATAAAATTAGTTGTAACCAGAAAAAAAAAGGTTTTGAATGTTGAACTTTTAATTTCCACAAAATCTTCCATTGCTACTCGAATATTTGCTGCAGAAACAATTCACCTTAATAAAATTTTATAAAAAAAAATCTTATTCATGACTAGCAATTAGCAAACAAAAATATTAATATTAATAATAATGAATTAATAAAAAGTTCTCACTTGTGAACGAGTTTTTGAGGCTCAGTGTGATTTATCTGTATAAATAAAGGTTGAATTAAAGAATAAATATATTTTTTGCTTTAACAACACATTAAAGATGAACAAGAAGCGGAGTAGCTGCAGCTCGGGACAGTCTGACGAACAACTTTAAAGGTCAATCTGAAGAAGTTTGTGAACATATAAAGGGGTGGTTTCATTAGAAAACAATGTTAGTGTTGGAGGAATAAAACTGAGGGTGAGAGAAAAGATCAAACAAATCACAAGAAGACATTTACTAACCTCTGAGGATGAACAATGGTGACGTCTAGTGGAGAAGCTGCTTTTTACAAAAGTAAAGTTAACTGGTAAGACTAAATCAAATCTGGAAGACAAAAACACAAATAAATGAACATGTATATATTTATATATTTGAAAAGGTTTCTCTGAACATGTTTAAACCCAAAGAGCCAAAGCAAGCTTTAATTATGACCTTGAGTCCAGGTGATGACGTCAGCAGAGCTAAAGTCGACTTTTTGTTTCTTTTGACTTTTTGGGTTTTTATTTCGACCTTCTGCTTTAAGAACCTCTACCTTTATCTAGTTTATTAGCCCCTTTAGTTGCCTTGGCAACCAGTCTGTTGCCATTTATTTTACCGGCGTCTCCGTTATTGATATGAACCGTTACCAGGAGAAAACAAAAATAAATGCAGTAAAATACTATTCAGTATTTTTGTCCATCGTAAACTAGTTAATATTTTAAAGCTATCTAATCCAAAAATATAAAAATCAATAAAAACTATTTTTATATCTTTTAAATCCTAGCTCAAGGTCCTTTATGTATTTTTGTTTTTAAATATTTTTTAATTATTTTTCTTGTGGATCTCCCCACAGAGGATGGCCAACTGAAATGTTTAAATTACAATATTTTTTCTTTTTCCCAAATATTTACACGTGCACGTCACGTTTTTACTCTTTACATCTGAACTATAAGAAATTTGTCCGATGAGAAACCAGTGAGGCCTTTTCTGGGCAGAATACATTTTTATACCAAAGATCTTATTTTAATGCAGATGTCCGTGTGCACGTCCCGTGTGTTGCACAAATAGCCCAATAAATTACAGCTAATTAATTTGGTGGGTTTTCTGCCTAGTAACAAGTTTGCAGCTGGCTGTTTATTTTACCGGTAGACACGGTATTTCTCATAGCTATTCATCTTCTGGTACCGTTTCGTGAAGAACTTTGGGAGTCTGGTAAATTACCGTTAGCCACGTAGCTAGTCTGGTTATCTGCCTTGGTAACTAGCATGCTGTTGGTGGTATAAAGTGCCAGTGAACATAATTCTTGTAGCTTGTTGCAAATGTGTTTTAAAGCAGCATTACCCGAGTGATAGGTGTCACTTCCTTGATGGTCAAGGTGTTTTTTACCTGAAGAAACTCCCAAACAGCCAGCGTCACCTTTGTGAAGGGATGAAATTTTCTGTTTTTGTTTTTATGTTGAGATCTAGCTGGCTGATAGAGCTCAACAACCGAAGGGCAGTATTAACCAACAATTCCTGGCTTACTTATTTATATTTTAGCTTTTTAAAATTGTGATGTATATTAAAAATCACCGGTCCACCACGCTAAGTTCAGACGCTTGAACTGTGTGTTAGAAACGCCACTGATTAGTCTCAGTTTATACCTTTTTAAAAGTCCGGGTTTAATTTGATCTACAAACCGGATTCCAAAAAAGTTGGGACACTAAACAAATTGTGAATAAAAACTGAATGCAATGATGTGGAGGTGCCAACATCTAATATTTTATTCAGAATAGAACACAAATCACAGATCAAAAGTTTATACTGAGAGAATTTATAATTTTAAGGGAAAAATCTGTTTTTTCCAAATTTCATGGCGTCAACAAATCCCAAAAAAGTTGGGACAAGTCCATTTTTACCACTGTGTGGCATCCCCCCTTCTTCTTCCAACACTCAACAGACGTCTGGGGACAGAGGAGACCAGTTTCTCCAGTTTAGAAATAGGAATGCTCTCCCATTCATGTCTAATACAGGCCTCTAACTGTTCAATCGTCTTGGGCCTTCTTTGTGGCACCTTCCTCTTTATGATGCGCCAAATGTTCTCTATAGGTGAAAGATCTGGACTGCAGACTGGCCATTTCAGTACCCGGATCCTTCTCCTACGTAGCCATGATGTTGTGATTGCTGCAGAATGTGGTCTGGCATTATCGTGTTGAAAAATGCAGGGTCTTCCCTGAAAGAGATGACGTCTAGATGGGAGCATATGTTGTTCTAGAACCTGAACATAGTTCTCTGCATTAATGGTGCCTTTCCAGACATGCAAGCTGCCCATGCCACAAGCGCTCATGCAACCCCATACCATCAGTGATGCAGGCTTCTGAACGGAGCGTTGATAACAACTTGTGCTATCCTTGTCCTCTGGTCCGGATGACATGGCGTCCCAGTGTTCCATAAAGAACTTCAAATCGTGACTCATCTGACCACAGAACAGTCTTCCATTTTGCCACACTCCATTTTAAATGACCCCTGGCCCAGTGCAAACGTCTGAGCTTGTGGAGCTTGCTTAGAAATGGCTTCCTCTTTGCACTGTAGAGTTTCAGCTGGCAACAGCAGATGACACGGTGGATTGTGTTCACTCACAATGCTTTCTGGAAGTGTTCCTGAGCCCATTCTGTTATTTCCTTGACAGTGGCATTCCTGTTTGAGGTGCAGTGACGTTTAAGGGCCCGGAGATCACGAGCATCCAGTAGAGTTTTACGGCCTTGACCCTTACGCACAGCGATTGTTCCAGATTCTCTGAATCTTTTGATGATGTTATGCACGGTTGATGATGATAACTTAAAAGTCTTTGCTATTTTACGCTGGGTAACACCATTCTGGTATTGCTGCACTATCTTTCTGCGCAACAGTGGTGGAATTGGTGATCCTCTTACCATCTTGGCTTCTGAGAGACACTGACACTCTGAGAAGCTCTTTTTATACCCAATCATGTTGTCAATTGACCTAATTAGTGTTAATTGGTCTTCCAGCTGTTCGTTATATGCTCAATTTCCTTTTTCCAGCCACTTATTGCTACTTGTCCCAACTTTTTAGGGATTTGTTGACACTGTGAAATTTTGAATCAACATATTTTTCCTTTAAAATGTTACATTTACTCAGATTAAACTTTTGATCTGTCATCTATGTTATATTACGAATAAAATATTGACATTTGCCATCTCCACATCATTGCATTCAGTTTTTATTCACAATTTGTTTAGTGTCCCAACTTTTTTGGAATCCGGTTTGTACAATATAATTTAGATATTTATGTGAACATGCCAATTGCTGCTTTTGGGACCCTAAAGCTTTGAAACAGAAGTCAAAGAAAGTAATATTTCTCACAGCAGGAAAATTTAGCTGAATAGTATCATTTTTAAATAAATTTTTGTAATCTTTTTTTTTTTTTCAAAATAAAACTGGACACGACAGATGGTCTTCCTTTAAAACGGATTGTGAATTTTTTTATTTGTTTTTTTTTTCCTGCAGGATAAAATAAAGACAAAAAAGTTAAAACACAGGTTTGCAGTAAGGCTGAATTACCAGGAGCAGAAAAAGATTAAAAATACAAATAAAAAAACAATTCAAAACAAAAACTGAAAATATATTTGTAAACCAGAAATATACAGAGTCCTACTTCAGGAAAGAAACTTGTCTTTTGGAAAAAAGTCTCCAAAAAAATGAGCAACTCTACACATTTATTGCGGTTCCATGCGCTTCATCTGAAAGCCAAACATTTCTAAAAAACTGGGAAAATATCTACACTATATCCATTTGGTCTGGAAAACGTTTTTGCTTGCGTAACTATACATTTATAGGAAATGGGTGATGCTGCAAAGTGGCAGAGAAAGAATAAAAGTGCGCTTGAAAAAGAAACAGAGCCGTTTAATCTTGAACTTAAATTTTAAAATCATACAGCAGGAGTGAAAAAAGGCCAGAAGGCGTGACAAACTTGATCAACCAACTTTCATACCTGGTACAATAGAATAAATAAAATATTCCATTTCTTCATGACAATGAGGTCTAAATACAAGAATGACTTTCAGGGCGATTATTTGCAGGTTTGAAGGCAGAAGGAACAGACGTGGCAACACACGGCAGCCGTTCTCATCAGCCGGTTTCATCGTTTTATTGTTATTAAAGCACTATTAACTAATTGTGTGGGCCGCCTGCCGCACAACGAGCTCCGTTGTCTCTAATATGCAGCCGTGCGCAACATGGAATAAATCATGAACACAAATCAAACCCCTCGCTCCGAGCTGTTACATCTGCATAGAAAAAAAAAACAACAAATAAATAAACACAGAAAAAGAAAACAGGTCTGAGCGTTTCACAACTCGGGCTTCTGTTTCCTCTAAAAGATAATACAGACGTAGTAGTGATGCAAGATTTATTGTTAATAAGATATTTTTTTGTTTTGTTTAATGAGTTTTTTTTTTTTTTTTTTTTTAAGAAACAAAATCCCTGTTTCTTCAAGAACGCTTCCTACTTCCTCGATCCGGCTTGGCGGGTTAGTCTTCGTCATCGTCGACCACGGGGTCAGCGTCCCAGCACGTGATGTCGATCTCTAAACACAAACGTGTTTATTTTTTAATTATATTTTAAAAAAGCAACGTTTTGACATATTTTACAGAAACAACAAGGTTTAACGAGTGTATGTGTGTGTGGAGGCACTTACCGGACTCACCGGTAGTTTTATTACAGAGCCCACAGGAAACAGATTCTGTATTTGGCTAATTATTTTAGATTTTATAAAAAGAAGTAAAACAGAAATAATCCCTTCAATCCATTAACTGCATTCACCATCTGAAAGACGTCAGTTTTAAATGAGTTTTACTGGAATAAATTTTGTTGGCTATAAGTTTAAAATCAAAGATTTCCTGCTGCCTAAAACTAATATTTTTAAACTTGCTTTATAAATAAAGTGGTATGGTATATTACCATATTTTAAAGAAAATAATGTACAATACCTAAAACCACTTTCTTATTATTTTGGCTTTTCCCTTTTCAGGGGTCGTCGCCCATCGAGTCCTCGTCAATCTCACGCTGTCCTCTGTGTCCTCTGTCCTCACTCCAACGTCCTCTCTAACTGCAGCCATACATCTCGTCTTCTTTGTATTTTTCATGGCTGCTGTATTTCTAACATCCGTCTACCTACATACCCACTGTCCCTCCTCTGGACATGTCCAAACCACTGTCCCTCCTCTGGACATGTCCAAACCATCTCAGTGTGTCCTCTCTAACTTTATCTCCCAGTTGTTCAACCTGTGCTGTACCCCTGATGATCTCATTCCTGATCTTCTCCATCCTTGTCTCTCATAAGGAGAACCTCAACATCACCAGCTCTAACTTTTCCAGTTCTGTCTCCAGACCATACAACATAGCTGGTCTCACCACTGTCTTGTAAACTTTTCCTTTGATCTTTGCCGACATCCTTTTGTAGCAAATAACTCCTGCCAATCCTTGATGCAATCCCACCTCCACTTTGACCTCTACTCTTCTTTCTTTCATTCTATTTATTCATTAGCTCCTCAAAGTTCTCCTTCCATCTTCCCGTCACTGTCTTTTCATTTGTTAGAAGATTAACATTCCTGTCTTTAACAAGCCTAACCTGCTGCACATCCTTTCCAGCCTGATCCCTCTGTCTCGCCAGTCGGTACAAACCCTTCTCGCTCTCTTTAGTGTCCAGCCATACCAGTCTATAGAACTCATCATACGCCTTCTGCTGTATCTTAGCTACCTCCCTCTTGGCTCTACGTTGTGTTTCCTTATATTCCTGTCTCCTCTCTTCAGTCCTTTCACGGTCATATTTCTTCTTGGCTAACCTCTTTCTCTCTAAATAGCTAAACAACCACTAAACATATAACTACTTTAAAATATTTAAAATATACAGATTTGTAGCCCCAAAAAACATAGTGGCAGGATCAGGACAAAAGTAAACAGTAGAGGGAACAAAACCAATGTTTTAAAGTGAAGGAAATATAAGTATGAATAATAATGTGCAACAAGCAAAGTGACGTCAAATGTTGGCAAAAAGTTTTCAAAACTAAAATCTTCGAACATCTATCACGATCTGACCCTCTTTGTGTTATGCTATTTTTTTACATTAAGTTTTCTGACAATAAGTGTTAGAACACTGATGTTACTTCATCTATCTTCAGTGTTCTAACACTTGTTATTGTCAGTAAGTTAATTGCAAATAGTATTATGCTATATTTAACATTAATTGTTATTTATAATGTACATGTTCAGTAATTTCTGATTTAGGTAATTTTCTCACCTGGTGGCTTGTTATAAAAAACTGGAGCTGGTTTAGCTGAGGACTCCTCTGATTGGCCGAATTCTTCCTCTTGTGATTGGCTAAAATACCCCTCGCTCGCCTACAAACAGAAGAGTGATCAGAAAATAAAACTAAAACTAACAGGAGTGGCAGCAGTTTGAACTTGTCTGACCTGAGTTCCTTCTTTCAGCAACGTCTCCCCATTGGTCATCAGCAGCTGTCCATCATCTAATTCTCGAACCTCCCCGGAGGCGTGCTGGAGTGCATGCTGGTAGCTGAGGGTCATCTGGTCAGAACCCATCACGTCCACCAGACTTGTTGGGTCGTCCTCGACGGCGGTGCCCGAGCAGAAGCTCCCGTCCATCATCTCGTCGAAGCTGAGGAGGGGCTGAGGCCTGCCGCTGCTGGTGGCGGTGCTGGGCGGGACGTCGTCACGGAGCACGCCAGCGTCTCCCATCAGGTCCACCAGATTAGAGGACTGGGAAGTCTGAGCGGGGTTGGCGGCGGGGGCTGAGCTGCTGTCCCACAAGTCGACTAGGTTATCCGTCTGGGAGTTCCACGCAGAGAAGCCGGAGGAGTCTAAGGCCTGTGGGACGGCACTCTCCACAGTCGTGGAGGATGTGGACTCCTGGACAGGCCGTTTCTGCTCTGGCTGGGGCTCATAATCTGAAAACAACCCATAAACTAATTATATGACGTTTTCTTTTGGTAGACTCTCATCATCTAAAATTTTTGTTTGTACCTAAACTTCCCAGTAAGGTCCAAGGCATGGATCAACATGCCTTGGACCTCATCTTTTCTGAGTTCAAATTAGCATTTTGTCCAACTATCTGACTCACAAAGTGATTCCAATAGAGATTTAGAATTTGACTGTGTCACGGTCAAAGACAGAGATAGTATCAAGTTTATATTATAATATTTTAAGGAGTACAAATTCTATTTAAAACTGTAAATTCTATAAACTTCCAACAAGTACAAATAACCTCTTATTTTTCAACTTTTTTCTTTTTCTAACTATCATTTAATCTTCAAATTTTAGTCCCAAATTAAGTAATTATACAGCGTTTAATGGGAACAACAACAAGAGAAAATACACTAAAGAAGCTAAGGGACTCAGAAACTGCTGATTCACTTGTTGCCATGGTGATTCCCACCTTTTCTGGGGTGCAAGGGGAGGGGCAGCACGTAGCTTCACTTTTCATAAGGTGTGAGGAAACAAACAAGAAATTAAACCTTTAACCCTTACTGTACAATTAAAAAACTGTAAATGGCAAAATCTAGTTTTGTACCTATATGACAAATTTTATATATCCACAATGTTATGTATTAGGTAGCAGATATGGGTGAATTTAAGAAGACTTTTCAGAGCTCAGATATAATAGTGGATTAGAGTTTGTTCTGAGGTGGTTTCAGGGACCGAGGTAAGTCTTCCAGCGGTGAAAAACACACGGGGTAAAATAAGACAAAAAATCCAATGTTTAGCTCCATAAGCTGAAAAACGGAGGGAATTTTCTGGCTGTAAAAGCAGTTAAAGTAAAAATATGTTAAACTGTAACCAGTCAAAATCTAGGAAGTAACCTCATATTTCTGGTATAAAATTATTGAAAATGGTAAAACTTGAATTATAATTTTACAAAAACCATAAAATATAAAAATGCAGGAATGTTAAAAAGTCCAAACTTTCCAGAACTATTTAAACTTTAGTATGTATGTAAGTGCTACGTGCCGTCATCTCTGTATGTTCCCATACAATGACGAAATTAGTTCTCTGCATTTAACCCATCACACCTGAGATGCACCCAGGTGGAGCAGTGGGTGGCTGTGTGGGTGCCCCGGAGGCAATTGGGGATTGGGTGTCTTGCTAAAGGACACCACAGCATGTGGGCATGGCCGGGAGTCGAACTGCAGCTTTCTGGTCCCAAGTCGGCTGCTCTACCTCTACACCATCTCGGCCCCTAAATATTGAATAAATATTATCTTTAAATATTGTTTTAGCTTCATTAAGCTGAAAAACGACTGTTGGGTTTGAAACATTTCTGCAGGTTATTAATTGATGCATTTATAAAATGTTGTGAGGTTGTGTTGCTTCTAGAAGTTACAGCATGAAAAAAGTTTTAGCGAATCACTAAACTTTAGCAAACTAAAAATCTTAATAGACTAATAATAATAATACTACTCCCAAAAAATAATATTTGTTTGTCCCTCCCATACAGGGTTTTATAAGAATAAAAAGTAAGTGTTAAAAAGAAGCCTTGTTTTTTCACAAGGCTCAGACTCGTACCCCACTCTTCTCTGCGGTCTTCATCCTCCCGACTGAAGTCCTCTTTGATCGGCGTAGTGACTATTTTAGGGATGGGTGAGGCGGTGGCCATGTTGTGCTCTTCATCATCATCGTCGTCGTCCCCTGCAGGAGAAAATGAATAAATAAAGCAACCAGAAAAGATGATGCTCCTCTCTACAATTTGACCACTAATTATCAAGAGTTGAACCAGAAGATTCTGAACGTTGAAGCCAGTCTTTATTTAGTTGAGAAAGATCGAGAGGCTTGGTTGGTTCCCCTTATTTGGACGGACATTACGTGGCTGTTTCATAAACTCTACACAGGATCCAGACCTTTCCAGAATCCAGCTGTCCAGCTTCTGGACAAGTTGTTACCAAAACGAAGACATTAAACGACTCATTGTGTACGAAACATTTTTGTTAATATATTACACACAGACGAACTGAATCACAGCTACCACCACACACATAACCAGAGACATTCACAATCACTTCCTCGGTAAAAGCTAAACCCGTCTGAGATGTTTCATGAGATTATGGTCATGGTAGTCAGGCGTCCTGCTCAGAAGAGTTATCGTCTCTAGGCTGTAATAAGCCACAGATGAAAAAATACAATACTGCAAAATGGCAGATACATTTAAGATCCAATTCAACAATTTACTTTGCTAATGAATAATTCTGTTTGCAAAAATCACTAGTTTGAACAAAAAAAACCTTTATAACAGTGGTTCCCAACCATGGTCCTTGAGGAACACCATCCTGCACGTTTTAGTTGTTTCTCTGCTCCAACACCTGATTTGAATGAGGGTGATTAAGAGGCTTCTGCCAAACTTAAGGAATTAAACCACTGGACCAGCTGTGTTGGGAACCACTGCTTTAGAACTTGCAAAAAGATAGTTTGTCATTCTTAATATTGCTTTTACTAAATAATCTAAGATTGAAGGATTTATCTGTACAACAGCATATTAGAGCCACTCAGAAGAGAAAATATTTACGAGAAAGATTTTCATCCCAAACTAAAAGACCACAAAGAAAGAGGATTCGTAGCGTTGCCCCAAATTCTCCTAAAACAACGGAAGCTCCGGTTTTTATTTCTTTTCACGCCTTTTACAAATTCCTCTCAGTTCTGGACCGTTTCAGCACACGATCAAAGTTCGACGCATCCCAATAAAACAAGACAGACGTAGAAATAACAAAATACGGCATCAAGTCACAGCGAGCTCTCAAAATCGTCTGTTTCTGAAAAACTGCACTTCAAATCTACACGGATCCACTGGAATTTTAATTATTTTAAAATTTACTTTGGGAAAGAGTAGCTTTAATATACAATGTTGTATTTAAAAAAAAAAATCCAAAATACGATCTGCCATTTTACATTTTCTTTACATCACAGTTGCCCACGTTCCAAAGAAAATCATCAATTTAATAAAAAATATAAATGATTTATTACTCCTCTGCGTTTTGGGCTATTTGTTTTATTTATTTCTTCTTCTTAAAATCATTTTTTAACGGCCTTAACATAAATTGTAATACTTTCCAAATAGACACCTTATATATTTTGTAGTTTAAATTTCTTTGGCTGTTTCTTGTTGATTTAGTTTATTTTCCATTTTTGCTGTTTCAGCTCTAAGCTCGAATTCAGAAAACAAACTGTTCAGGAGTAAACTGGAGCCACCGAGGAAACACGTCGCTCTCTGGAAAGTGGTCAACATAAACCTTGATAAAATGTACAAAAATCACTGCTGTGGCCCAACGATCACACACAACTAGATGAAGTTCCACTGAAACTGAAGATCCACTTTCAGGGAACAGCGACCCACGAATGACTCGCGACGTCACGAACACTCACGGGTCGGAGGAATAAAGGCGTCGCAGGAGCGTTAGTGAGCGGATCCACAATCAGAGGCATGAAACGAAGAAGTCAGAACAAAATGAAAGAAATAAAACGTTAAAAGGTGCTCTTCATCCTCGGGACATCAGTTTGCTGCAAGTTCAAACGATCCAACAATAAATCATAAAATAACACGAGACTGGACGACATCTAAAGCACGGCGACACAAACTACCGTACGGTTCTCGACTACCGTACGGTTCTCGACTGTGACTGGGGGTTTCTGTTTTCCAGGATGGGGACAGTAAGAACAATAAAAATAATTAATTAAAACATTTTCCTGAAGCTTTAAAAAATATTGCTGGAAAATGGAATAACAAGAAATGTGCCAAGAAAAAAACGGTTCATGAACCCCAAAGAAACGTTTTAATCTGAGGAGGCCCTGAAGAAGTCCCACAGAACCGATCGGCGGCTCTGTTGGTTAAAAACTGAACTTTTTGCTCAGAAATCCTGAGTTTGGTTCAAACTCCACACCTCCCATTGATCTGCCAACACCACTAACTAAGCACAGTGGTGGCAGCATCATGCTGCGGGGACACTTTAAATGGGCAGGAACTGGAAAATTAAAGTTATTAACACGAGCCGGCAGTTTTACAGGCGATCTCACTGGGCTGTGACCACCGGAGCGTTCATGAGGAACTCAAAACGTTCTCGGTTTGCTTCATGAGTCTCAGAGGCTTTAACGCTCGTCGCCTACATATTTTCTCTCCAAGTGGAGTTGTCGTGGGCGTTTTGAACCCGTCTCTGACAAAACATTCGAGGCTACGGTCCCGAACGCCCGGGTCTTAAACCCAAACACTGATAACTAATTACTGAACTGGTCCAAATCTGCTCATTCCTCAGATAAACCAAATCATAAACGTTGGTGTGACTGCCAAGGTGAAAAAAGCGTCAATGTCCCCGTCGCTGAGGAGTTTGAATAGTAAATGTTTGTAGCTTTGGAGATGAAAGTGTTTTTTCTGGACTTGAAATGAGCAGGGAATCCAAGTAAACCTAAATGTTTTTAATGCAAGATACTCAAGTGGGATGGAGTTACACTGTGGAGAACGGAGGTAGTTTTTTGTTTTTGTCTGAGGCTGCGCAGAGTGACGTATCCTGACAAGCGGAGGGAGAGGTTTCATCCACCAGGTGCAATGGTGCAACCAGGGGGTGGCCAATGGTGGCTTTGGCCCCATAGAATAATCTTCAGCTACCCCACTAACCACCCTAATCATTTAAGGAGTCTATAAAAAACTAGAAAGCGTTTTCTCAAATGATTAGGGTGGCCGGTTTAAACACACACACACACGGTGGTGGCCATTTTGGATTTTGACGTGGCAACCCAGTTTTCAATAGGGATATTTCTTACAACTAGACGTAGCAAAACAACACAATAAAAGTTGCCACGTTGCTTATTTTTGAAGTTATCCAGCTCACAAGATGGACAGAGGGTATTTTCAATTCCCTTCTTTGCTTTGCGATGGTAGACACCAAAGCTGGCTGGACGGAAGCAACTAGGCCTGTCACGATAACAAATTTTGCTGAGCGATTAATTGTCTCAGAAATTATTGCGATAAACGATAATATTGTTTGAAATTTGACAATAATTAGTAATTATTGTCAAATTTAAGAAGAAATGTTGGTTCATTTTATTTTGAGTGTAGTACCTTCTTTGACCACCGGATGGCAGTATAAGACTGTTTGAACCGAAGGATGGATAGTGAGGGAGCGAGAAGCGCGTCTCTTTAAGAAAAATGGGAGGGAGGGTCCTTGACGTGACATGGGCTGTCTCTCTATGGTTCTCAAAATGGCGGACGCTCGGTGTGGTTTGAGCTCTTTAGCATTTTTCACACAAAGTTTTTAATAAAAATAAAATAAAATCGGTAAACAAGTTCTCAGCTTCTTTGTGCAGAGAAAAACAACTTTTTAAACGAAGGCACAGGTTTCAACGGTGAGTATTGGAGCTTCGACAAGTCGGAGGTTTTTTCCCCGAGGTCGGCCTGTTAGCTTAGCTCGTAGCTTAGCTTCTCAGCTTAGCTGCTTTTAACGATCCAAAAATGCGATTTTGGATCATTAAAATGGATTTTAAAGATAAAAGGCGGGGTCAGTGAAGAGCACCGGAGTTGAGTATTTTGTCATCCAGTGTCTTCAGTAGAAAGAGAGAGACACGAAGAAACGATAACGCCAATAAATGAAAATGAGGTCGATCATTTTAATTTATCGTGCGATTAATTGATTTATTATCGCGACAGGCCTAGAAGCAGCAAAATAAGGAGCACAATGAAGAATAGTTTGCGCAGAACTTAGCGCTGGTTTTTAAGAACTGCTTCCTGAAAACATGGCCGCATGGCTCGTTGATCGCAAGGACTCCGACTTCAGCGAGACTTCCACAGGAAATTGTCCTTTTTCTTATTTTAAGTCCCCAGCTGCAGCTCAGTCGGACACCAACGTTTTTCTTATTCTTTGTTGACATAAAAATCCAAATTTGTTTATAATTTTTAAACACCGTAGGCCGATCAGTTTAGAAACTCATTGCTGGAACTTCAAAGCTTTTCTTGGTATGAGGTTTTCAGACGGGAGGTTGTGAACATAAGCTATAATTTAAATCAGGATCTGGGCTCCGGGTGTTCGGAGGATAATTGACCAGATTAGGTTCGGTCCTGTTTGTAATCTCTGGGGAACAGCTTCTCGTCTAAAGACAAACAGAAGTTGCGAGCTTCCGGCTCGTCTTTTCTCTGTAATTCTTCCGTACGGTTCCGGTGCTGTACCTACCGGCTGCAGCGGCGGGCTGCGTTCGTGCGTGAGGCGAGGTGCGGAGGGGGGATGCGCCTCGGGGCGGGGTGCTGGGATTGTGCTGCTGCCTCAAGAACGGGCTGTCCAAACGGCCTGGCGGTCGCCGCGACAACACAGCAGCCACACAAAAAAACAACACAACCAAACAAACAAGACGTGGACAAGAAGCGACGGACGAGGACAGGGAGGAGACACAAAGAGGAGGGCAAGACGGTCCGTCCAAGAGGAAAAGAAACACACGGCAGATCCAGAGGAGTCCGTATTTAGATGTAAAGATGGCGGACATGAAGAAGACCAAGGAGGAGAAAAAGACAAAGAGAAGAGATTAGCGCGATTTGAAACACAGCGACTGCAGACAGCATGCAGATAGAACAACATGAAGTTTTAGGCGTTTATACAGAAAACTGTGAGCGTTAGCCAAATGTTACCACCCCGGAGTAAATCAGAAGTTTTGATTTGTGGATTATCTCAATTCTTTCACCCGCTTCTCCAGACATCTGAGCGGACGGACGTGTCTCAGGACTTTCACGTTTAAACAAAGTCACGTCTGTACGTCAACAGTTTGATCTGTCAGCAGCAAGTTTAGCTTTGCCACAAAGAACAAAACTTTTGGTTTTCAGACAGAAAACTTCTGTTTTATGGGATGGCGCCCTGACACGGCTCAAATCAGGGTTGCCAGATAGGAAATGACAAAATACTGTACTGTTGCTTTAAAACAATCAGATTTTGACCCAAACTGTTTCATGCTTTGAATGAAGGTGTGCCTTCACGGCCAGGTGGAGGTGTGTGTGTGTGTTAAGATGAGGTGTGGTTGGCGAGCACAGTCTGGCTGGTTGGATCAAAGGGTGATATGAGGACTCAAAAAACGTTCAATACAAAAACAACTGGACTTTATTTGTAACAGAAGACGTATCGCTCCTCATCCGAGGAGCTTCCTCAATTCAAAGAGCAGCGAGTGAGGGGTTCAGGTTATAAGGCTGAGTGAGCTAAGATACACATACATATGCAGATTGACAATTCACACCTCACACCTTAACAGTAGTGGTCTCTTAAGGTCTTTGTTCCTCTAATTCACAGACGAGGCCCCTCTGTTTCCATCAGGTGTGAAAACTGATTGGGAATCAGTCTTAAAGTTGCATTATAGGTTTTTGAAAGTGGAAATCTGAGGCCTCCTCCTCTGTTAAGAGACGGTTTTTCTCTTTTTACATAAATTGCTTCCTTCACCCCCCTCTCAACAGAGGAGGCCTCAGATTTCCATGCTCAATAATCCAGATAGAAAAATCCAACAAAGTTAAGTCAGGTCCTCCGGACGGTTTCTTTGTGTTGAAACGTTTCATCTTTTATCTAAAAGAGTTCACGAGTCTGCGGAGCCACAACAAACTCAGTCCTACAAACAGCTGAAAGTAGAAAAAGACGAAACGTTCAAGAAGAAGAAACCATCCAGAGGACCTGACTCAACTTTGAAGGATTTTGTATTTTCGACTTTTTAAAAACTATTCCTCGCACGCTGTGCGGACCCCAGGTCTCGTACAGATACAATAATAACGTATATCATGTAAATAAACAACGTATATCTGGCAACACGTCTTAAATTCTGTCCTGACAAAACAAAAACCTTTGCTCCTGTGGCAGCTACACTTTGCTGATGCAGTTCGACGTTAAACGAAAGCGTCACCAATGAGCAATGAGTTAAAAATAAATATACATTTTATTTTAAATTAAAAAAACAGCTTAAAATCTATCCCCCCTCTGAAAAAAGGGCAGAGCTCAAACCCAAGTCCTCACCATCAGGATGCAGGTCTCAGGAGGTATAATATTTATTTATAAATATAAACAATAGTGACGGTGATTTTTTCAAGTAGCACCGACTGTAAATCAATGACCTGAAGTAGATCCGTGTTTGTCAGAGGGCGAGCACCAAACTCCTGGATTCATCAAATAACCAACCACGCAACAAATCCTCTGAAATTCTGCTCTTGTTCTTGGTTTTGGTGCCACCCCAGGAGCTTCAGCGGCCCCCACATGCCCCCCCCTTTAAAGCATTTCTGGATCAGATGTTTACCACAGTTACCGTGAAGCCTTTATCTCAGCTGTGTGGTCACAAATTTACCGGAGTCCCCGGTTGTTTCTGTGTTCCTGGGTCCAGAGTCTACAGGACTCCCTGCAGTAAAACCGTGACCAGCATCAACCAGCAGGGGGTCTTTGGCGAGGCCGTCCAGGCGTCCTGAACTCCACTTCCAACCAGCAGGTCACGTTTAAAGACCATGGCTGTGGCTCAGGTCGGCCATTACCGGACTCCACTGAAAACTCGTGTTGGTTTTGTCCAAAATGTTCATCTTTTGGCAGCACGGTGGCGCAGCTGGTAGAGCAGCTGCCTCTCAGTGAGAAGGTCACTGGTTCAAATCCCAGCCGGGGGCCTTTCAGGGTGGTTTGCATGCTCTCTCCGTGCATGCGTGGGTTTTCTCCCACAGATCAAAAACACACACGTTACACTGATTGGTGACTAAAATGAGAGAGTGAATGTTTGTCTCCAGGTGTCCCTGTGATGGACTGGAGACCTGTCCATGGTGTCCCTGTGAT